TGAGCGGGGTCTCCTGCTGGGAGGTTCTGGTGCGTTTCTTAAAGCCGGTGGGTGAAGAAGAGGCGATCCTGGCAGGGCTGGCTCTTCCTCTGGGGCCAGTGCCCTAACCTGGGCCAGCCTGTCCTTGTCCACAGGAGCCCCGGCAGCCTGCGTACCACCAGTCGCCCTATGGACCCTGCCACTATGAGATGAAGCAGTTCCTGGAATGCGCCACCAACCAAAGTGACCTGACCTTGTGTGAGGGCTTCAACGAGGCCCTGAAGCAGTGCAAATATAGCAACGGTGAGAGTCTGCACCCGTCCCTGCAGCAGGGGCTGGGCGGTGAGTGAGCTGCTGCCAGGGAAGTATCTGAGAAGGGTCAAAGGTTGCAAAACCAGCCTCTTGGGGGCCTGCTGCCCTTCAAGGTATTAAATGGGAAGCCATTGCAGCCTCAAGTACTTTTCCTGTACTCCAGAATGCCAAAGGGAACTGGAAAGGGCAGGAGAAATGGTTCTGGTCTCGTCTCAGTGAAGATGAGGATGCTGCAGATACCCTCTCAGATTCTTCTCTTGCTGCTTTGGGAAGCCTGCTGCTTTCTCAACTCAGTTTCCTAGTTCCTGCTCCAGCTGTTAAAAGCAGACTTCTGTATATCATGACTTGATCTAAAAAGCTGGGCAAGAGAGCTTTTATTGAACTCAAGCTGCTGGAAATAGCACCTAATGCTGAATTTGTGCTTTTTCCCCTGTAGGTGTTTCTTCTCTCCTGTGAAGACTCCCCTTTCCTGTAGGGATAACAGAGCCTGGTATAGGGCCCTGCTGGCTGCAGGGAGTGGAAGGAAGGACAGATGGACAGGTGATGATGTGGAAGGAACAGAAGGACCAGATAAGAGTCTTCTAGTGGTAACTCACTTCTAGACTAGTAAGGAAAGAATAGTTGAGCCGATGAGACTGGAATTCAGATAGCCCTGTATCTGTTGCAGAGAAATAAAGGAGACTATGTGAACCTGTAATTTGTGCATTTCCTTTATTTATTCTCAAGCTACAATTAAGCTACTGAAATACTAAATGTGCATCAGCTCCACTTATGGGACAGGACAGCTGCATTCCCCTTGTAAAAACAAACAGGAGGTGCAGCCTAACAAGGGCCATGCCTATGTGACTTGAGAAAAGCAAATCCATGACCAATCTGAGGCTTGACTGGCTGTGCTCTGGGCAGATGATGAGGGCTGAACAGAGGTCCTGAGATGTATCCTGCTGTATTTTCAGTGACTTATTCTTTTTTTCATCAGTATCCTTTTCCTAAAGAGCTGTATTCTGAGCCAGGAGCTAAGAAAATGACCTGTCTGGTTGCATGATGATACTGTTGATTGATCTTAGTTAAAGCCTTAAGAGGTTATGCAATATTCTCAAGGTGACTAGGATGAGGCTAAGTTCTTAGTTGCTTACTCGCTACAGTCATCAGAGCAGAACAATCTTATCCAGTACTGCCTGCAGACTCCTCTAGCAGACCTAGGTCTTCACATTAGTGTGTAAGATATTAGTTGAAACAGAATTATTGAGACTCTAGCTTGAGTTTTGGTAGCACAGCAGTGAATTTCAGATCCTTAACAACTGGGTTTCCATGGCAGTTTAAGCATTTCAAATTGATGACCTTTAGCTGTTGAGTATTGGACTAGTTCCCTGCCCCTTGCCATGGTTTGTGAGTAAGTCCAGATTTAGATGCTTAAAGTTGGCAGCAGATACTGGAGGCCGCTATTGAAATTCCTGTTTCTTCTAAATGTCAGTATTCAAATTCTGTATGGTAGATAATGTCCTGAATGGTGTCTAGCTTTGTCTGTGGTGCCTTGTGCTCTCTTGACAGACAGTCAAGAAAAAAGAAAGCAGGTGCCAGAGACTCCAAGCCTGTGCTTAGGTGTGTTGTGTGCTGGGCTGCCCTGCTGTGAATAGGGAGTAGCTACTGTAAGGCAATAGTTTCAACTTAACATCTTTGATGTTTGTATGGGCTGGTCTGGGAGGGAAAAAGCTGTTAAAACTATCAAGAGTACTTGTAGCAGCTGTGCTTTGTCTTCTGGGCCCATCTTGGTTAAGTTTAAGCAATGCTCCTTTTGGATTTGTGGGGGTGCTGGATGTGGCTTCAACAGCTTTACCTGATGGATGCAAGGGACAGGGAGTCTCTAGAAGGGCATGGTCATGGTGATGGTGTTTGAGGCAGGCATGTCTGCTGATTTGATGTCACTTGATCCATATTTTCTTCTTGCTGCCAGGGTTTGAAAAGAGGTGCAGCTGCTTGTAACACAGGAGTACAAGTTATGCCATTGAAACAAATGACCCCTTGGAACACACAGCAGACTGTAGCTGCTGCGTGTGCCTGGCTGTGGTGCAGCTTTTATATGCTTTTGTCAAGGTGCTGCTTTGGATGGGGAAGCATGAACATGTGAGAGGGATGGGGAGATGCCAGGAAGAACAAACAGCTATATAGCAGAGGGTTCTTGGTCTGCTGGAGGACTGCTCAGGTTAGTGCTGTGCAGCAGTGATGAACCTGGTATGGTCACTCTGCACTTGTGAGCAGCAACAGGCCTTGCTCCCATCAGGCCTGTACCTCATCTCGGGGTGCCCTTTAGCTCCAGGCTCTTCTTGCTCTGTGGGGTGGGCCTGCGCCTGGCTGGGGTGCGGGTGAGGGACTGAGCCCTCTTCTGTGGAGGGCCCCTTCTCCACTGGTCTCTCAGCTGGGGGTTTGCTGACAGTTTCTGCAGCTGATCTGTAGAGCAATCCCAGCAAACATGTTAGATTTCCTCCAGTTCAATGAGGATTAACTCTTCAATGAGTTAATTGCCACTTGGCATGCTGAGGGAGGCTGTGCCAACCTCTATGGCTTCAGCCTAGGAGGTGGAGTTCTGAGTTTCCTGATCTCTCCTGTTCTTCCCTCTGTGCCAGGAAAATGTCTCCTCTTTACTTCTGACCCCTCTGTGCTGTGAGGCTAGTGCTGTACTCTACTACAGCCTGGGGTGTGGGAAGGCTGGCAGCCAACTACTGTGCTACTTAGGTGGTCTTCTGGAAAGCATCTCTGGCTTCTTACTGTCCCTTCTCTTCCTGAATTCACCTGTTAGCCCCAGCAGTGACCATTCCTGCCAGGGGAAGTCCTGTAAAAGTTCCTCTAAGCAGCCTGAAACTGTTGTGAGGGGGCACTGGGGAAGACAGCGAATGACCCTCCCTTGGGCTGTGGCAGGGAGGGGACTCAAGCCTGCACCTTCAGCCCCTCTGTGGAGGTGAGGTTGGTGCTTGGCTCTTACCTGGGAGGTCAGGGTAGTGTTTCCCCAGGTTCTCCAGTAAGGATTCATAGCAGGTGGCTTCAGTGCTTTCTTCTCCTGCCAGCAGAATGGGAGAACTGGATTAATCTCTCTCCTGAAGTCAAGACTTGTAATTGGGGCAGGTGGTTCTGCTCACTAAAGGCTCCCCCTTTCCCAAAGGTGCCACCTCAGACTGCAGGGTGCAACACCATTATGTGCAGTTCTAGTTTTTCATGTGAGCTGGTTCCTGCCCTCCCTGAGCTACTGTGCCAGGTCTAAATGATCGCTGAATAGAGCCCCTCTCCAAGTTGCATCTCTGTTTCTAGGTGGTGGCAGGGTGTCTGTGCTCTGCCACACAGGGTTTCACTGGTGTGTGGGACAGTTGCTTGAAATGCTGTGTGAAGCTTCACACTCAAAGCAGACCCTTCCTGGTGCAGAGGCTGAGCTGTGCCATCTGGCTGAGGAACTTACGGATGACTCTGATGAGGATGTAGCGCTGCCTTTCCTGCAGGTATCTACTGGCAAATTCAGATGCAGGATTTTCTACTTTGCTCAGGTTCATCAGGACCCCTGATTCATCCAGAAGATCAATATTGTCTAAAAGGAGAGAGGAGGGGTGATGTTTCTATGTGCCTCTGCATGGCCAGTGTCAACCTGTGTGGTTCAGAGGACATTTCCATGAGGAGTTATGCTGTGAAGAGGTTATGTTGAGGTCTAGAGGTGAGGAGGTTTGCTTCCCCTTCCCCTGCACTTCAGAGTGGTCTGTGATTCCCCATGAGCCCTTTGTCACCCTCTGCTGTGTGTTTCTCTAAGAGTGTCCATCCCTCAGGTGAAGGCTGCTCATGAGCATGTGGTACCTTCTGGCCTGCACTGACACTTCCTCTTCAGGTGGGCAATGAGGATGAGGATGCGGCACTGCAGGTTCACCATCTCCTGGCAGTTGGCTGTAGACAGGAAAAGAGACCTGAGAATGAGAGAAGACTGGAGTCACCCCAGATCCTGGGGGCCCACCACCATTGCAGCCTAGCTCCGGCACAACAGGGGGCTGGGAACTGCCACTGCTGTCCTGGCCAGTGAGGGCAGGATCCCTGCCTGCCTGTCAGCTGGTTTTGAGCAGGTCACATCCTCTCGTGCTTGGTGCTGGGAATGCTCCAAGTCAGGAGCTGGGCTAAGCATTTGGGTTGGATGTGAATTGCTCTGCTTCATGAAGTGCCACTGTCCTTTAACTTAGTTTCATCAAATGGGAGAAACGAGAGCATCCATGATCCGCAGCTCCTGTCATTCCCCTGCTACAAACTTGTCCAGGTCACACGTGGAAGGAGTGAAGATCTTGGCTGAGTCACTGCAGGATGTTTGGGCCATGAAATCTCACCAAGTTTGGCACAACTGACAAATCCCCTGGGCTGCTGAACGTCAGATCCAGCTCAAATAGCAGAAGGAGCAAAGGCTTAGGACCATGTGTCTGGCACTCCTGCAGGGAGTCCCTGGGATCAGGCAGAGGCTCTCGGCCAACTGTGGGCAAGGCTGGGACATCGTCTTCCAGCTGACCTGGGTCTGCTCTTTCTCCCTGCAGGCTATTTGCTCTCTGAAGCAGAGTACCGGGTTCTGGGTAAGGGGAGCCCTTTCCACATTGTAGACACAGTGGGGAGCCGAGGAGCTCTGGGTGCTGCTCCTTCTGCCCTGTGTACCGCTCTCCTGACTGTGTCTAGACAAGCAAAGTCCCTCCAGTGTTTCTTGCCAAGTCACTGGCCAGAGCTAGAGGCTGGAGATGTGCAGCAAGGACTGCTCATGGGAAGCTCTGCTGTGCAGGTGTCCTGGCTGTAGCACAGCCCCATAACCCACCTGTGCTTGCCTCTGGTTTCTCTCCTGGCTAGTAACAGTCCTGCTGGGACAGGTTTTCTGACTCACTGTGTAAGGGTTAAGTATCTCTTAAATGGGTGAGGCCAGGGAAGCTGCTACAGCCCAGCAGGGCTCTCCTGCTCCACCTTCTGGTCTGGAACCACTAGGCATTGCTGTGCACTGAAGTGCCTTGTCCCTCCTGCCCCTGTAGGGCCACCATCTGGTGAAGAGACAGTCCAGGAGACCGGCCCGCCCTGAGAGCTGAGTCAAAGCCAGCGCTTTTCCCACCTACCTCCGTATCTCACCGTAGCGAACATAGTGCTTCTCAGCACGCCTCTTTCCAGAGCTGCTCTCCTCCGGTTCGGGCCCGGGCTGGGGCTGTGTTGGCTGCTTGCGAGGGGAGCAGTCCTGCAAGCTGCAGGGATGACAAAATGCCCGATGTGGTTAGTCCTGGCAGCGCTTAGGGGAGGGGCTGCGTTTCCAGCCAACACTCTCTGGGTTTCAATAGCCAGATTTCCCAGCAACGGGGAACGGCTCCAGCAGATTCCCAAGCCTTCTGCAGCCGGGGAGAGAGAGGGGAGAGCAGGGACTGCACAAATGAAACGGGGCCCTTAGGGAAGGCTACTCAGCCTGTGTTGTCCCAAACTCTCTGGATTTCAGTCTTTTCCAAGACTTGTGTTTCCTGCCCCTGTGCTGGGGGTGCCTGGTCATGCTCATCCTGCTCCCTGCTGAACCCAGCGTGACTGGACTGGCAGTGAGGGCAGCTGTGGTCTTCTGAGATGGGCAAGATGTCACCAGCAAAACCTCCCTTCAGGACAACTTTGCCCTGGTTTGATGGGAAGAGCTATGGTCTGGGATAAAACCTGCTTTATTTGGGTGAGTTTCTTTTGTTAACTAAGCACATCTAGTACCTCACGGCGGGAGGGAATAACGATGGCAGAAGAGGGTGAGCACTGAGCTGTGTTCGTATCTGCTCTTGCATTTCATGTAGCCAGTTGCTTGCACCCACGTGCTACCAGAGTGGTTTGCATCGCTTGTGCGGCGCCTGCGTCTTCCACTTAGTGCCCAAATGTTGATGTCCTGTAGCATTGTCCTCTTTTCCAGCTGAGAGGCTGAGACACAGATCAAATCACTGCTGGAGGCTGGTCAACAGATGCAGAGCACCTAACAAACAGGAGCAGGTAACAAAGCCTGCAGGGAGATCAATGGAGAGCAGTGCTGCATATCCAGTGCTTGTGGCCCTGTGGACAACTTCCCTGTCATCACATTTCACGCAACCATCCTTCCTTGCATGGAAAAAGGGCTCCGCAGCTGTGTAGGGTGCAGCAGGGCCTGTGTGAGGCTCTTGTAGCCTGGAGCGTGTGCAGGCAGAGCTGTGCCAATGTCCCCACTCCTATTACTTTTCCCTTCAGCAAGTGTGAAGCTTCAGAGCGAAGCACTGGTTCTCACCAGCCGCTCCAGCGCCAGAGTCAGCTGGGCTGCAGCCCTCGCTGCTCCCATTGCTGAGGGTGTCCTAAAACCAGCTTGTGCTTTTGCAACCTCAGTTTCCTGATTGAATGTCTCTGAGGGTAACAGGTTCACACCCTGCAGGGAAAGGTCTCACTGTGTTGCGAGGTGCAACAAATGTTTGTGTTCGGCTTATGTGGGACGTCCTCTTTCCACGTCATACAGGATCTTTCCACGGGTCTCCGGACCCTGCACGTATGCCAAGAGGCAAACACAGAGAGGCAGGTATTTGGATCCCCCTGGGCCATGTTTGCAGGCTCCAAGGTGGGTTATAAGCCAGGATTTGATATTTCTGGTCTCCAGGAGCTGATGCAGAACCCAGTGGAGGGCATGAGAGTTCTTCTGGTGAGCTGAACGGGCTGTGGAGAGCACATTCCTGTGGTAAAAAGGCTTCTCGTGAAAAGGAGGAAATTGGCAACTTAGCCCCAGCCTTGATGTTTTCCCTCTGCTATCTGTCTGTCGGCTTCATCCATGGGGCAGCTTGCCTCCAGCTCCTGCCCCATGGGAAGAGAGCTACAGACAGGCTAGTGGAGGAGTCTCAGGGTGAGGTATGGTGGCAGGTGTGTCTCAGGAGGCAGCAGCCATGCTGCAGAGGTGCGGGGCCTCCTCAGCATCAGCCCTTCCAGTGGCCACTGGGTACAGAGGAACCTTGGAGCGGCTCTCTTAGGTGCCAATCTGTGACATGGTGCCCAAGGATGACAACCTGCTGATACAAAACCTGTATTCTCTCTGAAGCTTTTGCCACCACCAGAAGGCCTAGTTTCTTGTGGCTGTTGTGGGACCGTTTCCTTGGCAACACTAATGCACTGAAGAAGGATGCAGCTTGAAGCTGTCCCCGGGGAGGTGGTTGTCAGGTGAAGGAGGAAGCATTTGTGCTTTGTTTTGCCCCTGATCTGCAGCAAATTCAGTTCTAGGAATGAGCATCTAGAAGAAAGAAGCTAAGAGAGGCGTGAAGAGGGAGGTAGATTTGTCTACCTGCAGAAACCAGGCCAAATTCCTTTTCCTTCAGACGCAAGCAGAGACCTGGGCTCTGCCCAATGGCTCTCCGTGTCTCTGCTGCAGCCTTGGGGCTGGTGGGCTCATGATCACCATGACCGGCTTTGGCTGCTCATTCCCAATCCCTGGGAAAGCTTCTGCCAAAGCTGAGCCTGGAGCAGAAACCCCTAATTCCTGGAGATGCCAAGTTGTGGTGCCAACAGAGATAGTGGGTTTAAGGCACATTAAACTCTTCCCTCTCTCCCCTAAACCACACATGTGGCAGAAGAAAGAAATGACTTGTCTTTCTGCTCACAGATGCCTGCCACTGAGACCCCCCTCTCCGCCACAGGTTCCAGCTACCCTCTCTCACAGATCGCCCCATCAAATCACAACTAACTAAACCCAAAGCAATTCTTGCCAACGTATTTCTGTTTGCTCTCAGACCAGAGAATGGCTCGTGGGCCTGAAAGTTTTTCTTTGGCGTCCAAATACTGCTGCTGGGCTAACAAAGGTCAGGGTCAGTGCCTACCTGCCTGGCCGTGCCTGCCATGAGCAGCGCTGGCTTTGTGCACGTGCAGAGGATGTGGCCTGGGGCAGCTCCCGATTGGGCTGGTAGAAAAGCAAATCTTGATAAGCCTGACGCTGTGGAGTTAACGTTCCTAAAGGCGGGTTTAGGAGGTAGGTGCATGGCACTCAGTCTCTGGGTCTCCGAGGGGCGACTGGGGGAAGCGGCGAGCTTCGCATGTATGCGTGGCCTCCACCTCAGCCCCTCGGCACCATGCACCTGAGGAGACCACGGCCACCTCGGGGCTTGCATCTCACTGGGTCCCCGCTGTGTGCATCGTGGGACAGAGGTACGGCCTTCGGTGCCAGTCCCGTGCGCTGCATTGGGGCTGTTGAGGGTGCTGAGGATAGGCTATTGTGACCTTCCACCACCATCGCTGCCTCCCTGTGTCAGCATCCTCAGTGGCCGCAGGGTGAGCCCAGGTCCCTCGGCCCTGCTGGAGGAGGACACCCCGGTGGGGGGATGTTTGCCACATGCCATCTCCCACGGCATCCTGCTCTGCTTCCTAGAGGACGGACCCATGCTGGCATCGCAGGGCTGCAGCGTGGGGCCTTGCCTGGGCACCTGCGCTGAGGCCTTGCCGGGGCAGCTGGGTTATTATTAGAGCCCTTTTGCAAGTTGTTTCTGCTTATGTGGTTTGCAGGTGGTGCTTTTGCAGGAGGTGAGAAACCTGGCACTGCGCAGAGGCTTGCGCGCAGCCTGCCTCCTCTTGCGTTGGCCGCAGATGCCAGCAGCGATGAGTCGGGCTGGAGAGAGCGGGACAACACACTGGGGCTGAGCATGGCTTTTGTCCTGTCCTGCGCTGTGCTTGTGCTCCTGCTGCCGCTGGCTTTTCCCCAAGGTAAGCCCTTGAGCCGTGTCCTTTCAGGTGGGCATCCACCCCACCTCAGGCAGCCGGCACAGCTGCAGGAAGGGGGGACGTTGCCCAGAGGTCTGAATGCAAGCAATGCTCAGCGCCGTCCTTGTCTCGGCAGGGCCACCGGCCGCGGGTCTCCCTCTCGCAATGGCCAAACCAGCCCTGTGGCTCTGCGAGCTGATGGAGCCAAGGCTGAGGGCTGGTCTCTGTTCGTCAGGTCTGGGTTTCTCTTTGACGTCTCGGTTTTCTTACGATGGATCTGTGGAGACATGTTGAAAGTGGTGCTCTCCAGGGCTGAGCCCACGCTGTTTGCTCACTTGAGTTGTGCCCTGCCTCTTTGGAGGTTGCTGCAATGAAGAGGGAAACAAAAAACAATTTCTGACATTTTTTGCAGAAGTATTTGGATGTTGAACCGGTAAAGGAAATACCAGCTAAGCAGTACTAAATATTGTCTAAGCAGCATAAGGAGTTGGGTGCATTAATTTGTTTATCAAGATCAAGTGTGCTGATAGCCAAGAATAAAAGTAAGATAAAAAGCTCCCAAGATCATTTAGCAGTTGCTGATTTGAAACCTACTCTGCCATGTTGCCATTGCTGCTTTTATATAATGAAATCATGCAGGGCTGCTTGTTGTCTAGATAGCACACGTGGTATGAAGTAAAAAGCTGCTCTTGGCAGTGTTATATGCTGTGATTCTGGCTGGGGATGCAAAGCCTACGATAATTAGGGAATCTCATAGCGTGTTAGAGAGAGGCAGGCACATGAACAAGCCTCAAGACTTCCTTAGGCTCTCTGGGGCTAGAGAGAGATTTAGGGCTGAGGTACTTGCTTGGAATTTGGTGAGGGCTTCTGTTTGCCCTGTGACCTGCCAGAGAAACGAATTTAGTTAGATCACTTGGTCAGCCTCTCACCGGGATGGCGTTTACTAAAAATTCAACGTTTGGAGCCAGCACAGTGATGTGGACTTATGCAAGTGTGGCCCTTCCTTGTCCAGGAGCAGAGTTTAGGTCTGAGAAAGCGTCTGCCTTTAACTCTCACTTTTTGTTTTGGATTTAGAGGCTCTCAGATGTCGTGAGAGCAAAGTAATTCTTGTAACCAAGGGGGAGCCCATCTCGATCGTGTGTCCTTTCCATGAACGCTGCAGCACTGACAATACCTTCTATGAGATCATCTGGAGCTATGAGAAAGACTTGAGAAGGATCCTGCAGTTTAGGACGACACCTCCTAATAAAACCTCTGTTATGTTACGCAAGGAAGGTCACTTTGGAGGTGAGCTGGATTTTGGAAGGTGCGTCAGCTTTCTCAACATCTCAAAAGTGCTTATAAGCGACACTGGCCGTTATCTCTGCTACGTGAAGGTAGGGCACAGCAGTCCGACAACAGAGGTGACTCACCTGCACATTAGAAGTGAGTCTGGCGCTCTCTCTGTTCTCCTGTTTCTCTCTCTCTCTCCAGCAGTGTACCCTGACACCTTAGTCCTCTCCTGTCACAGAATGAAAACGTCCAGGATTTAAGCCTGGCTGTGACTGACTTGAAAATCCTTCTCGGCGTACCCAGGCGCTGTTCTCCTGTACGTAGCTGGCCTCACTCTGATTGCTTGGGAATGCCAACGGGCTGGAGGGAGCTGGGAGACCTTTGGCTGTGCCACTTCCCTCAAAGCCAACCAGCTCTGCCTCCAGCAGTCCTGGCACATCACATCACATCTCTTTTAATTGCCTCCAAGGAAGGACATGCCACTGTCTCCCTTGAGAACTATTTCCCTGCATACCTGGTCTTCCCGTAAGGAAGGTCTTCCTAATGTCTAGCTTGACTCTCCCCTGCATCAGCTTCTGCTCTTGTTTAATAGCTCATAGACTCTGTCAGCATTTTGCATAGGATACGTTTACTTTTAATGTTTTGACTACTTCTCAGAGAGCCTAAGTCAGATTCAAAGCCTTTGGGAAGCATTAGCCTTGTTAGAGTGACTTCGGTGGATAAGGACCTGCCGACCTGCCCCTGTGTTGGGAAAGGGAGGAGAATTTGCATTTTAGCACTCAGCTGGTTGAGGCAGGCACTGTAATTGCCTTATAGAGCCTTGCTTTACACGTTTGACACTGCAGCTCTGCAATTCTTACTCACTTGCAGTGCAGCATGCAAAGTTGTCTTCGGCACTGAGTTGCATCCATTTTAATTTATTATGTAATTGTGTTGTATGATGTTATTTCATAAATTTTCTTTGCAACTGTATTTGCTTTTGAACTTGTAATTTTTTCACTTTCCCTCTGTCGTCCTCCTTTTTTAAAAATTTTCTATAAATGGATAAATATATATGATCTGTATAACCTTTACTGCCATTAGCTGTTTGAATGAGGCAGTCAGAAAGAGAAGAAAAATATAATGGTCACTGGTGGCTATGTGTTGTTTACAGCTTAGTAATCTTCTGCTCTTTATGCTTTAGCTTTCTCCAAAGCTGAAGTCTGCTTGGAAAGTCTCGCTGTGAATTTTTCAACCACAGAACTGTGTACCCATCTCCAGAGCTGTTGCTAATCCCAGTGTCGTGACAGTTGGTAACTGCATGGAGAAGTAGTCCAGTGTATCAGTTGCACACAAGTGTAATCCCTGAGGCAGGGGGCTGAGATTTCCCAATGACAAAAGTGTCCTGGGCCCCTTCTTTCCTTCTGACAAAAGTGTCCTGGGTCCCTTGTTTTGCCTTATAGGCAGCAGATAGGCTACACGAGGGGGCAAAGCGTAGGTCAAAGCCTTCACTGCAGCCCCTGCAGCAAACACGAGTCGCTCACCCGGCTCTTCGCAGCCCCGAGGCCAGGGGCTACTCTTCAGCACGTTGCCCTGGCGTTTTGCAGGGATTTGTTGCTCTTATGCTGAAGGGGACCATGGTGGTTCAGAAGTAGAAGTGGGGGAATGATGTGAAACACAAAGCGGCCGGTTGGGGCAGCAGTTGAGCTGAGCCACTTTCCATGTGTGGAACCCCAGGACATTCCCACTAGCTCGTGATGCTGCAAAAAGCCTTGTGGCTCCGCACTTTGCCTGTGGCTGGCGGCCTGCCAGCGTCAAAGCAGCCCCATCATGGCCACCTCCACCAAACACCCTTTTTTGCAGGTCAGCAACTCAGCTCAGCTTCCGAGGGCCTCCACTGCTCTGCACCTCCAGGCAGCGAAGTCACCTTGGAGTGCGATTTCTCCGCCAATGTGACTGGCAACTTCACAGAGCTCTTCTGGCTGCATGAGCGAGAGGAGAGCCCACCCCGACTCATCGCGTGGCACCACAAATCCAGTTGCCCGGACAGGAACAGCACTGAGAGTCGCTTTCGGAGCTCGTTAGATCTGGAAAATCACCAGAGCCGTCTCACCATTTCCAGGCTGCATACGAGTGACAGCAGCTGGTACCAGTGTGAGAGCCTGGGGGAGTTTTCTGGCAAGCAGAGAGGGAGGGGAACCAACCTCACTGTCAAGGGTGAGCATGTTTTCAGGGAGCCTGGGCTTGTATGTGAAATCCTTCTGTCTTGTTTGGTCTTTACGTTTTAGCCTCTCTGTCTTAATCCATGGGCTTGACCTCCTTAGGGCACAGTGAATGCATGACACTTCTCATCTAGGACATAGCTTTAAAACGGGCAGGTGATTCACGCTTGCCACACCACCACCTTGCAGTGCTTGGGGCATGCAGGTAGCTGGCCGCTGGAGCTGTGCCTGCAGCGTGCTTGTACCAGCGCAGGCTCAGGGCTGGCTGCACAGAGCAAGCTGCTGCTGTGCTGTGATGGTGAGGCTTTGCAGGGCCGGACACCGATAAGGCAAGACACAGATAAATTTAAAGCAACTATAAAACTACAGGATGTCATCTGTGACAAGCTGCAGGTTATGTGACTTGCTGCAGATGGTTATCTGTAAGAGCTGTTGATTGCTGGTGATGTAGCCCTTTAAGAAACAGGTTTTCATCTATGCCTGATGATGATATGGATTCTTTATGCGTTTACTTTCATGTGCAAAAATGTCTTTCATCCAGTATGACCCATAACAGAGCCCAGCAGAGCTGTTCTAAGGAAATCCTGACTGCACTTGGTGTCTGGCCATGTGAAGCCTGGCCAATTAATCCAGAATGTGGTTAACTGGAATTATGCAGTAATTTGGGCTCTGACTCAGCTGGGGAATATATAATTTGATGATAAAGCGTGACACTGCTTTGAAGTGTATGACTTGCCATGTCCCAGTTGATTTGTTGCCAAAAATATGTGATTCATATTTCAGAAGAAATTCTTAAAGATTGGGCCTTTGCTCTCCTTTCCAGGCTCCCTGACGTGCTGCTCGTGGCTTTGGGGAGTGCTGGGTTTGCTCTGGCTGCCTCCTGCCTGTACTTTCTGTGTAAGTAATATTGGGCAATTGCCCAGGTGTCCCCTCATCATGGCAGTGTCTCTAGTTGTCTTCTGCGTGTCTGTGAGGACATCTGCCCTTCAGCAACATGGCTGGGGCATGGTGCCTTGTGTTATGCTGTCTCTCTGCTGACACCTCACCGCATCCTATGCTCTCAGTCAGGTGCGGGCCCCAGGGACAGCTGTGGGGCAGCTCATGGCCATGACTTGTGCGAGTGGGGCTGCGGTCAGGCCGCCACTCTCCCATGCCATCACCTGAAGTGGTGAGGAGTGCAGCAGGTCGTGGGCTCCTCCATGCCCTGACAAAATGCCATTCAGCAGTCAGTGTGACGTGGGGTTCAGCCAAAGGAAACACCTTTGGGACGGCAAGGAGGTGTGGAGCAAGTCATTGCAGCAGGAAAAAGCTGCCAGGAAAAATTCTCCTTGTAGAAATGAGCCCCTGGTCTGTGAATGGAGACGCTGCTTTGCTGCCACAGGTTGCCCTGGCAGAGCTCTGCATCCCCTCTGCTCCATCTTCAACAGGCATTGCACTTGTGTGAGGAGCCCATACACCTCGCTGGAAAGACCTGGTCCCCTCGCTGGGCCTGCTGAGGAGGGTGCGAGGGAGCCTGTGGACAGGGAAGCCACCTACGCTAGCCTTAGCAGCGAGTACAGTGTAAGTGTGGGTCCCGTGCTGCGGCCAGAGCCGAGGAGCAGGTGAAGCAGGGCTGGGCTGTTGCTTGCCCCCTCCCTGCACGTGAATGAGCGGAGATGGGCTAACACGTCCCGGCCGTGGCTGGTCTCTGCGCCTTGCTGGTGTGGGCGAGGGAAGAGCTGCGGCCCCCGTGCTGCAGTGGGGCAGGCACTGGTACCCCAAGCAGCAGGAGGCTGTGGCTACCCTCCGGCCCTGTGTGTGCGATGAGCAGCAGCAGTGGGCCCTTGTGGCTCTCGTTCTGCATGGCATAACCGAGGTCGCTCTTTGTTCACAGCTCCTCGCTTTCTCTGGAAGGAGCCCCAGTGCTGGGGGCCAGGGACAAAGGTGACATCCCAAGAGGGACGGGGAGCTGTGCTGTACATCCTGTGCTCATGGTGCTGTGGATGGATTCCCTTTCATCGCATCAAGGTCCCTAGCAAATGTTCCTCTCCTTCGACAGTTGTTTGTTGTGTTTAGCAAGTGTATCAATTAAAACCACTCGAGGACAGACCTTGCGAGCGCAAATGCAGTCTCTGCTGCGTTGGCTGCTCCAGCTCGGCGTGGAGCTGGCTCTCAGTTGTTCTGCCATGTTGTCCTGCTCAGACCAACCTTTGCGTTGCTGTCCACAGCTGGTGGAATCCACCAGGCACAGCCACATCCTCCTCCCATGGAGGAAAAGTCCTGCAGCCTTGCCAGGTGGAGCAAGGCCTGCATTGGGGGGCTTTCCTGTCCCAGAACTAGGAACATGTGTGGGCAGAGGTGTGCCATGTCTCTGTCCCTATTGCTTCACCCTTAAGAAAGCACAAAACTGCAGAGCAGAGAGCAAACCACTAATTTTCACTGGCCTTGCTAGCGCTGGGGTCTCCTGAATGGCTGCTGGTGCTGCAGCATTCGGCTCCTGCAGGCACAGCTGACGTGTGGGCACATGGGAGAATTGAAGGTCTTCCAAAATCAGCTTGCGCTGTCGTGACCTCGGTTTCTCTGATCAAACCTCTGTGCAGTTACACTGAGATGGTTGTGCTGGTTTTGCGTAAGGAGATTTTTTTTTTTGAGTTGGTATGTGGAGGTTTGTGGGAAGGGCCCTCAGTTTCCTTTCCTGCCCAGAGCTGCTCTCTCTGGTGATCACTAGTCTCGTGCTGGACCCAGCAGAGCTCTGCAGGCAGACAGGCTGCCTCTGTGCCCCAGCTGATGACCTTACTGCTCTCAGACAGCAGGGTGCTTTGGGAGAGCCCATATCCCAGTTGTTATGTATTTCTGTTCCTTGTGGGCTGCATCCAGAAAGCCCCTGCCTTGAACGGCTTTGGAGCCAGCCTCACGCAGTCCCAGCAGAGCATCGTGCAGGTGCTCAGATGCCTGCTGGGGCTGGCTGTCCTCTGCAGCGTTGTCCCTCCTCCCACGGCCCATGCAGCACATCGCAAGCTCCAGCAGAGGAAAGACAGCAAATCCTTTCCTGACCCAGAGCAAGGCTGCAGCGCCACAACCTTCTCATGGTTCCGACCTGTCTCCTGCTGCATTGTTGGCTTCTGGGGTGACTTTTGTAAAGAGCTGGGCCAGGTGCTGATGTCAGAAGGGCTGTCGTCCTGCAAGGGCAGGCCCAGGCTAGCAGGGCTGCTCCTGCGGCTGGCATCCAACACGGGCCTTCCCAAGAGGCGAGAGGTGCCTAGTGTGTCTGGGCAGGCTCCGCGGGCAACCTGCCACCTCCCT